AGCAAAAGCTCCGCCGCATGGAGCAGACGAGAGGAGAGTTTGTGCGGCTCAGTCTGGAAAACTATCTCCTTTCACTTACCGCCTCTGACGAGCACAATAACGATGCATTACGGTTCACGGCTCTCTGGTTGGAGCGCTCCGAGGAGCCAGCGACCAATGAGGCCGTCAAGAAACACCTCGACAAGACGCCCACGAGAAAGTTTGCAACGCTGATGAATCAGCTCTCTTCTAGACTGCAGGATCAGCCGAGCTCGCCTTTCCAGAAGCTCCTGATTCAGCTCGTCTACAAGATTTGTCTGCAGCATCCATACCATGGGATGTACCAAATCTGGTCAGGCACAAAGGTTAAGACCCGCAAAGAGGATCAGGTGGCAGTCCTGAGACTCAAAGCCACGGAAAAGGTGGCATCGCTGCTGCAGTCTGCCAAGTCTGTCGCGGCAATCTGGCAAGCGATCGATAGGACGAGTTCTTACTACCATCGCCTGGCTGTCGACCGAGACTCGAACAAGTTCAAGGCCGGGCAGAAGATGGCGCTCAAGGACGTTCACTCGGCCCAATCGCTTCAGAATGCGCTGGCCAAGTACAAGATCCCGCCCCCGACCATGCAGCTCGAAGTGTCAGCGACCATGAGCTATTCGGATGTCCCCATCATCTCAAAGCTAGAACCACAGATGTCGATTGCGTCTGGAGTCAGCGCGCCAAAGATCATCACGGCAGTCGGGAGTGATGGCAAGAAATACCGACAACTTGTCAAGGGCGGCAACGACGATCTCCGTCAAGACGCCATCATGGAGCAGGTCTTCGCGGCTGTGTCGGATCTTCTGAAACTGCATCGCTCGGCACAGCAGAGAAACCTGGGGATCCGCACGTACAAGGTCCTTCCTCTCACGTCGGCATCTGGGCTGATCGAGTTTGTCCCTAATACCATTCCCTTGCACGATTTTCTTATGCCAGCCCACGAGAGGTACTTTCCCAAAGACCTCAAAGGCTCTCAATGCAGGAAAGACATCTCGAATGCGCAAGGCAAGACTGTCGAGCATCGGATTACCGCCTATAGGAAAGTCATAGACAAGTTCCATCCCGTGATGAAATACTTCTTTATGGAGAATTTTGTCAATCCTGATGATTGGTTTGCCAAGCGCCTCGCATACACGCGTACGACTGCCGCTATTTCAATGCTTGGCCATGTTCTCGGTCTCGGCGACAGGCACGGCCACAACATTCTGCTAGATAGCAAGACGGGTGAGGTCGTACATATCGATCTGGGTGTCGCATTCGAGATGGGTCGCATCCTACCCGTGCCGGAGCTCGTCCCGTTCCGGCTGACACGAGACATTGTGGACGGAATGGGCATCACTGGCACTGAGGGCGTCTTCCGGCGCTGCTGCGAGTTCACACTACATGCCTTGCGTGAGGAGACATACTCGATCATGACGATACTCGACGTCCTTCGTTACGATCCTTTGTACTCCTGGTCCATTTCTCCCGTCCGCCTGGCAAAACTACAGAGAGAAGTTCAAGGAGGAGATGAATACAACAAGGAATACGACAGGGACGACGACGAAGGTAACGAAGGTGATGAAGAGGGTAGGAAGGGCAAGAAAGGGGGCAAGCAGGTCAATGAGCCGTCGGAGGCTGACCGGGCTTTGGAGGTAGTTCGGATGAAGCTATCGAAGACGCTAAGCGTAAAGGCGACGGTCAACGACCTGATTAACCAAGCGACCGATATAAGTAATCTTGCCGTCCTCTACTCGGGATGGGCAGCATATGCATAGATGGATAATGAAGGATCAATGAATCAAATGAAATATTCATTCTTCAGGTTTTGCAGAGGATTACTTCTCTGCCTCTGTGCATTCAGAGGGGCAAGAAAAGGGTTGTACAACAACTAACACAACTGCGTATCCGAACATCGCACAATGGCAACATCTACTAATTTGCTGTTTGGGAGAGGCGATTCCATGGTGGTCTTCTCAGCAGAAGTGAAGGATATTGTGGCGTTCCCAGGGACGACGGGATCGGGTGTTTACCTTACTGTGGTGGGACCGTTTGATGTGACGACGAGAAGTGTGGTGGGGTCCATGTCTTATCTAATCCCTGTCACTGACGATAAGGGGACGTGCTAAATGGATGATGCTAACGACCGCGGTGGTGGTGATTTGTTAATGGCGTTCATAGCTCCGCGTTTAACTCCGCGACAACTCTCTCTGCCGCAATCACGACTTTTGTACTCCCCAACCTCTCTGTCACAAGCTTCTCTGCAAACACCCGACAATTCATTCAAAAGAAGCCTGCCGCCTGCGATTTTACCCTGGCCGCCCGCCCTGCCTACACCATCCCATCTCCACGAGAGCGCATAGTACGTCTGTAACAGCTTGGACAAAAGTTGTTGCAGGGCCACACGGTCCATGCCGTCGAATTCACCCCCCGCAGTCGAGGGAGTTTTGCCATCACAGGCGACGGGAAGGACAGGCGGCGCAGCGCCGGTCAACGACAACAATAACCCTCTACGCCGAAGACCCCGCCAAGATTCCGACGTCTCGCGCTCCGGTTCCGTCGCCCCGCATCAGCAGCAGTCCAACAGACCGAGCCCGAAGCGCTTCAAGTTTGGCGCCGACGACCCTCCCTCTCACAATACCATGTCTACCAAGATGAAGGGCAAGCTGCCCGAGGTCATTGACCTAACACAGTCCAACTCCTACCGGCCATACACTGGCGCGAAGAAGCTGGTTATCAAGAACTTTCGACACTCGGCGACCAACGAGAAGCTGGAAAAGTACTACGAACGGACCGAGCAGGAATTGGTCGATGCTTTGCACGAGATCTTCAGCGGGCGCAAGCCGAAGCTGCCGTTGGAGAGGTTATCTCGGGCCGTGGAGGATATATGCAGGCGCGGCCAAGACAGCGATTTGCAGCTGTACGAGACCTTGCGGCGAAAGTGCGAGGAGCACCTCACCCAAAATGTGTTGCATTCAATCAAGTCCCGAGCTGGTAACACAGATGTCGACATGCTTAGGAGCGTCCTCGAGCACTGGCGAGTGTGGAACGGCCAGATTGTGAGTCCACGAGGTGGTTGCTACACCCTGGCTTGGCATTAACGCGCGACATAGATGACGATCCGGTCCACGTTCACCTACCTTGACCGTACCTACCTCCTCAGGAATAAGAATTACCTTTCCATCAACGACATGACCATTTCACAGTTCAGGAGGATGGTGTTCCCCGCTCGCGACGACCCAGATGGTCAGACACCCGGTGGCAGGGCGTTACGGGGCATGTACGACCTGATTTCGTACGACCGAACAGGGGACGAGCGGTTCGAAGCGGCCTTGCTCAAGGACTCGGTCATGATGCTTCACGTATTCAACATTTACACCAAATACTTTGAACCCCGTTTTATCGAGCTGTCAGAGACATTCTTCGAGGACTTCGCAGAGGAAAGGAGCGCGTCAAGCCTAAAGGAGTATATCTCGGCGTGTGAGAGACTACTGAAGAAGGAGGACTACCGCTGCAACGAGTACAACTTGGACTCGACAACCAAGAAGCAGCTGCTCGACGCCGCGCACGGCATCCTTGTGAACAAGTACTCCGACAAGCTTCTCAACAGTGAGAGTCTTTCCAAGCTCCTCTCCGACCATGAGGTAGATTCCATGAAGGCCCTTTACGATTTGCTGCGACTCTCCGATATCCAGAAGAAGCTCAAGCAGCCTTGGAGCACATATATCAAGAAGACGGGTGCCGCTATTGTTGCTGACAAGGAGCGCGGCGATGACATGGTCCAGAGGCTCCTTGAACTTAAGAGGTCACTGAGCCTCATTGTGCGCGATGCCTACGGCGGCGACCAAGACTTTGTCAACGAGCTCAGGAACGCCTTTGGAGATTTTATGAACGATCGCAGCATTGCAACGACGTGGAGCTCTGGAACATCCAAGGTCGGCGAGATGATCGCCAAGTATGTCGATATGCTGCTCCGCGGTGGAATCAAGGCTTTGCCGAAAACACTTCTGTCAGATAACATTGACCGAGCTGCAGCGGAGCAGAGTGGCGTAGCCAGCGCCGGCGACGAAGACGCTGAGCTCGACCGGCAATTGGACCAAGCACTGGAGCTCTTCCGTTTCATTGAAGGCAAGGACGCGTTCGAAGCGTTCTACAAGAAAGACTTGGCTCGCCGTCTGCTCATGGGTAGAAGCGCTAGTCAGGATGCCGAGCGGAACATGCTGCGGAAGCTCCGCGAGGAGTGTGGTATGAACTTTACTCACAACCTGGAGCAGATGTTCAAGGACGTCGAGGTGGCCAAGGAGGAAATGGAAGCCTACAAGCAGTGGTCGGAGGGCATCGGCGTGGATAGAGCTCCTGTCGATCTATCGGTAATGATCCTGTCACAGGCGGCCTGGCCAACGTATCCCGACGTCAAGGTCCACTTGCCAGACGATGTTGCCAAGCAGATCGAGCGATTCGACCAGTACTACAAGAACAAGCACACGGGCCGACTGCTTAACTGGAAGCACGCACTGGCGCATTGCACGGTCAAGGCAAAGTTCCCCAAGGGTACAAAGGAGCTCCTCGTCAGCGCGTACCAAGCCATCATACTCGTCCTCTTCAATGAGGTCGGCATCGAGGGCTTCCTCGGCTACGAACAGATCGCTCGCTCGACAAACCTGCAGGGAGAAGAGCTTTGCCGAACATTGCAATCTCTCGCCTGCGGCCAGGTTCGCGTGCTTACAAAGAGTCCCAAGGGAAGGGACGTCAACCCGACGGACACATTCGCGATTAACAAGGCATTTATACACCCAAAGATCCGAGTCAAGATCAACCAGATTCAGCTCAAGGAGACCAAGGAAGAGAACAAGGCGACACACGAGCGTATCGCCCAAGACAGACGGTTCGAAACACAGGCAGCCATTGTGCGCATCATGAAGAGTCGCAAGGAAATGAGCCACGGCGAGTTGGTTGCGGAGGTGATCAACTTGACCAAGAACCGGGGAGCGGTTGATGCGGCGCAGATCAAGAAGGAAATAGAAAAGTAAGTCCCTCTTGTGTCCTTGGTGAAACGAAGGCGGTGCTAACACTCTCATAGCCTGATCGACAAGGATTACTTGGAACGCGAGGGCAACACTTACACGTACTTGGCGTAGAGGGATAGTTGGCATGGCGGGACTCGTTTGTACCCAGGGGGCAAGAGCACGCTGGTAAGGCAAGTAGATGGCATGATTGACCTGTCCATATACATACATGAACTGAATGAAGGAGACGCTGGATGGTTAGGAAACCGGCGTTTTCATGGAACAATGCAATCTGAGTTGGCTCTAATACGGAGTGCCCATCTGCCTTCACCGGTGCACTGACCACTCGATCTATGCTCGGTGAGCTCGGTGACTGTCGATGACCCCTGTCGGGACCCTGCGGATAATCGTTCCACCTAGCGCATTGCGGGGTTCAAAAAAAAGTTGCGGCGGCGGTGGTCCCTCCTGCACCTGGCGCCAAAATTTTGGGAAATTTTGTGCCAAAGGCGGTCGGCCAGAAATATTTCCCATTGTAAGGTGCACCGCGAAACCTCGACGACCTGACTTGCGCCGATTCCCACCAAACACCCTACCGGATTCGACGAATTACCTCGCCGAGCCGCCCTACAATTATCAAGGAAAGCCGAACAAGGGGACATTCGCCAATTGTTTAATCGAAGTCGACAAACCAGCACAAACCGCCAAGATGCCCAAGTCAAAGCGCAACAGAGTGGTCAACCTGACCCAGGTGAACAAGAAGACGCGCGAGCAAAAGGACAAGCTCTTTTCCAACATCCGCGAGTCGGTGCCGCAGTACCAGCACTGCTTCGTCTTTGGCGTTAATAACATGCGCAACAACTACCTCAAGGAGGTCCGCCACGAGCTCAACGACTGCAGGTCCGTCTTTCTACAGCTTCTCTCCAAGTCTACTCAGCCTGTGATACCGTACTTGTGGTGCATGCACCACGGCCAGACGAACACCTGAGAATGCCTAGACAAGGACCAAACCTTCAGCTAACCTACTTTGCTACCAACAGACTCTTCTTCGGCAAGACAAAACTCATGGCCAAGGCCCTAGGCCAAGACCCCTCCTCCGCCGTCGCAGACGGCATCGAGCGCCTCACCCCCTTCCTCGCCGGCACCGTCGGCCTCATCTTCACCAACCGCGACCCGGCCTCCATCCTCGAGTACTTTGACGGCGTCTCCCCCGTCGACTTTGCGCGCGCCGGCACCGTCGCCACCCGCGACTTCGTCATCCCCGCCGGCGTCGTCTACGCCACGGGCGGCGAGGTGCCCGCCGAGCACGATGTCCCCATGGAGCACAGCATCGAGCCCGAGCTGCGACGCTTGGGTATGCCCACGCGCATGGTCAAGGGCCGCGTCTGTCTCGGCGGCGACGATTCTGGCGAGGGCGAGGGGTACACCGTCTGCAAGGAGGGCGACGTGCTCGATAGTCGGCAGACGAGGCTGTTGAAGCTGTTTGGGATTTGCTTGAGCGAGTTCAAGGTCAAGGTGCTTGCGTAAGTTTTTTGTTTTTTTTTCGTCCCCCGAGTTCGGTTCCCCTACAGGTCAAAGATTATGAGTACTGACATACGTACGCAGATACTGGAGCTCTGCCTCGGGCGAGGTGACCGAAGTAAACCCCAACGCCATGGATGGCGTCGAGGTCGAGAGCGACTAAGAGCCGAAATGTTATGAACAAACGTAAAAAAAAGAACAAAAAGCCTTCTAGACTTTTGACGATTGCTTTCCTCATGTAGGCTTGATACCATCATGGATTGAGAAAGGGTGGGGACCAACAAAAACAATTTTCACGGCGTTTTACGGGCGGGGGTTTTTACTAGATTATTATTTCTTGAAAAAAAAAAGTCATGCGTCAAAGCATCAATCTTCTTCCAGAAAACATTTCTCTCGTCCATGTAGGTGTGAAATGGGATGGAAGCAAAAAAAGAAGAAAAGAGAAAAAAAAAGAGAAAAAAAAAAGTAGTGGACGGACGCTGAACCTTGATAGGGAGCAAAAGTACAGGGCTTCCTCAACGAGCATCATCCGTTGTAGTCGATAGCCGAACGCAACGGTTTAACTGTCCCTTTCCATTCAGATTGGCAAGGGGCAGGCCGGCTAGCTCTACATAATGCCGTGAGTAGTTCGTTTTTGGACATTTTCCGTCATACAATTTTCTGGTACATGCCGATGTTCACGCCGTGATACGCTCGCGCGCAGAGGTATCTATACAACGGATGGAATACTATCAGGATTTCAAGAGGTCCCGAGTTCGAGACGATCTTTGGTTGGACCCTTTTTTCCTTCCACTGAGGAGGCAGTATCTTTAACAACATGGCACTTCTGGGACGAGAATGAGCGCCCCGGCAACGACTAGATGTAACTCGAGCTGCCGGATGATAGGAAGCTAGAGTACGGAAACGATGTATGATCTGTTGGTGTAAGAAACTAAAAGTCCTCACCTATTCGTACAAGTAATTATAACGTGGTACATGCGGATTTACCCCATCCTTTTTGATTATTTTCCCATGCGAATCCTCCTTCACTAAGCTCGAGGTCAGTAGGCACAGAGTCCCTTACCTCTGACCTTACCTGCAGCATCAAGCCATTGTCGGGGTTTCTTGTTACGGCAGTCGTAGCCTGGGCATGTAGTGTTTGCACATGGCGAAGTTTACCTTCAACGAGATGCTGAATCAATTCTTTGGAAATTGGTGGTTCGCGTGATGATTTGTCGTGAACACTGCCGGCCTGCCTGGTAATTGCGTATACTTGCCCCAAGCCTGTACTCGAGCTTTGTCCGAGTCTTCTTTGATCCGAATATGGAGGTACTTGGAATTCGCGTTTGAAACCTTCTGCTTACCCTCGAGAGACAAGGGGAAGAAGAAAAGAGACTGAAAGATGTGACGAGCTAGTCGTCACCCACCGCAAGACACTAGGTGTCTCGTCAGTAACGACGCAACTTGCGAGGATCCTCGTAGCCACCGCCCTCGTAGCCGCGTTTTCTACTGTCGTCATCGCGAGGTCGGTCGTAATCTCTGTCTCTGTCTCGGCCACGGTCCCGGTCCTCTCTGTCGCCTCGGTCTCCGCGGTCACCACGGTCGCGATACCCACCTTCCCCTCTAGGCCTGATGGGTTCCATGTTGCTTCCAGTGCGTCGGCCACCGTCACGGTCCCGATCGCCAAAGCGGCCTCCATCGCGGTAACCGCCGCCGCCGCTACCACCGGATCTGTCGTCATATGAGCGGCCACCACCACGGTCATACCCACCACCGGAGAAGCTGCGGTCGCCTCGGTCGCCACGATCGCCTCCGAAGCTGCGACCAGGTCCTGAAGGGGCGTCTCTGGGTGCGCCGTATCCGTTTGGTCCGCGGTCACCACCCCTGGAGCCGAAGTCGCCGCCGCCGCGGAAGCCACCACGGCCACCGAAACCTCCACCACCTCCCCTGAAGCCACCGCGTCCGCGACCTCCCTCGAAGCCGCCACGGAAACCGCCTCGGAAGCCACCGCCAAAGTTGCCACCAGGTCCGCCACCCATGGGACGGGCAGGAAGAGCCTTGGTGTAACCTCTGCCGCCGAGGCCACCGCCAAATCGGCGGGGCACCCAGCCCTTGACGGTGCGGCCTCTCTCGACGTCTACCTTGATACGTCGGTCTTTGATTCGAATACCATCGCAGGCATCTAGAGCAGCTACTCACCAGTGCGCCAAGGCGCGTGTGTCAGTAAAACCTTGACGATATCATACCTTTGCATCATGACTGGGTGAAAAGAAGGAAAAACAAGATTTGAGATGGGCAAGCTTGAGCGCCACAGATCTCGAGGTGCAGTGCAGAACGCGGGCAAGCCTGAGGGCCGCGCGTCTGAAGGGGAACGACTGGCAGACAAGCCGAGTCTTGTCGGAGGGGGCGGGTTCGGCGGTATTACCTCTCATGTCTTTCTCTCGTTCAAATACTACAAAAGCGTATCCTCGATGGGGCTTCTTCTTCTTCTTGGGTCTCTCATGAGCATGCGTGTCAGTGATGATGCGGATCTGTACAAACATGTTAGCTGCATTCAAAGTATGAAAAGGTATTTGGGGAGTACATACGCGCTCAATGGGGCCGAATCGACCAAACTCTCTCTCGAGGTCTTGCTCATTTGCCTCGTACGAGAGTCGCGCGACAATGAGCGTCTTGAAAGCGTCACCACGGATGTTGGGATCCTCGTGCGGTTTGACTAGATTGCGAAAACATCAACATAGACTCTCAATGGATGAACACTGAGGAAACTAACAGTCCTTCGGCCCCTCGGTCTTGAGCTTCTCAACAGCTGCCTGCTTCTCGAGCTTCTTGCGGTCGCGCATCTGGAGCCAGCTTTCTGTCGGCTTGTAGTCGTCTTCCTCCTTGTATTGCTGAAGCGCGGGAAGGAACTCGGCGAGTCCAGAGACGGGGAGGGTTCGTCGGGCCTCGGGCGCATGGTCGGGCGGCGCAACCCATCGCAGAGGAGGGCGCGGCGCGAAGAGCGCCAACAGGTTGGGAGGGAGCTTATCCGTCATCGCTGTAGTTGCTCTTCGTCAGATGCCCGATTGAAGAAATGGCTGTCGGCTCGGATGGGATGCGTCGCGCCGTGGCTAATGATGCATCGACGGAGCTTGGTGGGATGTCGGGATTTGGAAAGGGAGCAAGCGCGTCGTCTGGTACAGGTAGAGGAAATTGACACGAGCATGGGAAAGTTTGTGGTGCAGCCTGCCTTTGGCCAATCGCCGCGGTTCAGCCGAGCCATCCTGGTCGCAGAGCTTCGAGTGCCGGTACGTACCTTCGCAAGCTGTCACCTCAGGCTGCATCCTACATTTTCGCGCTAAGAAATTTCCCCGTCCCTGGAAAGGAGCCTCTCGTGATCCAGACTGCGAATCGGATTCTGTGCGCCAAGCAGGATACCATGACGATCAGAGCATTGAAGACGGTGTCTACCGGCCGCGTAAGCCTGTCAGAAGACGTATTTACTGTGATATAATTGCTGACGCCCTGCTAGAATGGCCTGGGCTCTTTCATCCTCCAGTGCAAGAAGCTGGACTTTCACTACTGCGACTGGGCCGGCAGCTCCAAGGGAATGAAGTACGCCAACCCGCCCTTGGAAGGAGAACGTCGAGAACATTGCTAACATTACCCAGCGGCTTCATCAAGTCTCAGCTTCCCAAGTTCGCCGCTGCCAACCCGCAAGTCGAGTTCACCGTGTCGCCCCGTCCGTCGAAACACCCCATCATTGTTGGCCACTACATCAACGGCCGCGAGAAGGCCATTTGCGTTCGGAATATGGAGCCAATCGAGATCTTGAAGAAGGCTGAGCTTCTGCGCGACGCCAACGGAGAGAAGCTGAAGAGGGTCAACAAGCCGGTCAACAGCATCAGCCCCAGTGTCAGAGGTGTCTGGAGTCCTTACCACGGAAATGGCATGGCTGTATAAATATGAGAGGCATGAGCGTATCGATTTGGGAAAACGTGTAAAATTACGAAAGGAACAAGGCGTGTACAGGACGAAAGCGGGAGCTTCTTTGCCGCGTGTACCATACATTGACCCGTCAGGGAGGGCAAAGAGTACCCCTTTAAGCACTCAAAATTCAAGAATCACAAACATTTCACCAGGTCCAACCACCGTCAGAGGATTGGGGGTATAATTCTTTTTTGTTCAAGTCTACGGCCCTAGGAGTTGGCAACTACGAATGGTCACTTGGGGGTCATCCTGGGTCTATCCTGGCCCATCACGGCCTGATTTTAGGTCATCATCATCAAGTTTGTAATCTGCCTTGTTTACTGCTTGGCGTTGACAATGTCGACGACTGTGCCGTGTTAGCTGTCTGTCCATGATAGCGCGCTGAGAATACTCACAGCCAGGCTTCAGGGAGGCACCGCCAACCAAGAAACCGTCAATGTCCTTCTCCTTGGCGAGGTCCTTGCAGTTCTTCTCGTTGACGCTGCCGCCGTAGAGGATGCGGGTCTCGTCGGCAACCTTGTCGCTGACTTCCTTCTTGAGCCAGGCGCGGATGGCGGCGTGGACCTCCTGGGCCTGATCGTTGGTGGCGACCTTGCCGGTGCCGATGGCCCAGATGGGCTCGTAGGCAATGACGACCTTGGACCAGTCGGAGATGGCGGCCTTCAGGGCAGCAAGCTGCTTGCTGACGACCTCGACAGTGGTGCCGGCCTCGCGCTCCTCGAGGCTCTCACCGCAGCACCAGATGGCGCCGACGCCGTTCTCGGTGGCGTACTTGGTCTTGGAGGCAACGACCTTGTCGGACTCGCGGAGGATGGTGCGGCGCTCAGAGTGGCCGAGGATGGCCCAGTTGATGTTGCTGTCCTTGAGCTGGGAGACGCTGATCTCGCCGGTGAAGGCACCGTTGGGCTTGTCGAAGACGTTCTGGGCGGCAACCTCGACGTCCTTGCGGAGCTGGTCGCGGACGAGCTGGAGGTAGATGGCAGGGGGAGAGACGACGACCTCTGCAGACTGTCAGAGAAGCTCAACGGTGAGATAGGATTGGAAAGACATGGCACGTACCGGTGTTGGAGTCGAGGGTAGCGCTGTTCAGGTTCTGGACAATCTCCTTGATGGCGGAAACAGATCCGTTCCTGAGAGGTTGATAGTTGTTAGTCTCACGATGTTTTGGCTGAAGCCGCAGCTTCCAGGCTGCCCCTCTCCGGTAGGGTGGTGCAGAGATCGTCGACCCCGCCAATGGGACAAAACTTACATCTTGAAGTTGCCGCCGACGAAGAACTTGCGAGCCATGTTGGGCAATTGGTGGTGATTTGGTGATACGTGGGAGGTTTGGTAGGATTGGATACGTCTGAGTTGCCGTCAGGAGTGAAAGATCAGATCAAAAACTTGGGTGTAAATGACGCAGGATAGATTCGGAGAGCTTCGTAGTCATGGAAAAGACCTCAGGGTTGGGTCACGTCAAAAGCTCCAGTGCAAGGTGGGCTGCGCTTGTCTCATGGAGGGGCAGAGGGGCTGCGCAGGAGGGGCAACTGGTACCACGGCTGCCCACCTCGAGAGTGCCGCCAGAGTGCCGCCGCTGGCAGGCCGAGCCCACCTCATGGATAGGTAGCAGCAAGTCAGCAACAGCAGCAGGTTGGCAGCACACAATCAGCAGTTCTGGTGGGGTCCTCAGCGGCCCCCGGTCTGGCCCGGAGCCTGCAGTTGCCCCGCACCCAACCTCACTGCAGCATCCAAAGTTGCCCAAGTGACCTGAGCGTCCGTCTGCCGTGGGCTGAGACCATCCTCCAACATCGACCGCCCCTCAACAGTTTTCGTGCCCAGTCGGACCGTTCTCTTCCCTTCATCCCCCGGACGCCGAGTCTCTCATTTGATAAACCAATCGGATGACCACTAGCTCCCAGGTGAATAGCAGTAGAGAATGACAGCTACCTTGTGCTTGACCGTAATCCAGTCAGGACAATCCGTCAGGGTAAAGCTAGGGCCAGCTAAAGATGCATCTTCATAAACGACGTGAGAGTTGGCGACCTCGGACCTAGTCCCCCTTCAGGGAACTTGCGTTCATCGCGTACAGATTGTCGATTGAGGCGTCAATGTTGCACCAGGAGAGCCAACGATGCATTCGCCAGGTTTCTGTGAGGTAAGGACCTCGGCCAAGCTGCTCACGAACCCTGTTTCTCCCGAATTTACGGCTACTTGAGCTCCGACTCTCATTAGCCCCGGCAAAGCAAAGTAACAGACGTCTCCTCGGTTGGGCGCAATGTCAGTTCTGTAATGACAATCGTCTACAGTCACTCAGACTCATAATGCCCGGGAAGCAAGCTTACTTGCTCTGTTTCGCCTGGTGAGAAATACATTGTAGGGCAAGTCTAGACTGAAGTAGACTGGAGTCTGAGAACGCATGCTCTGTATGTTGTCTCAATAGCAATACCTCCTTAATCTCGGCATTCACCATCCCTTTGTCTAATCAAGTCTGTGATGGCTTAGCTTCTCACCAAAAAACGAATAACAATTACCGGTTCCACGCGTAAGCCCTTGCTGTCAAAGCACCCCAATATCTTGGCTGTCCCGAGACCGCGAGTCTGGCGTCTTCGATCCGGGGCATCAAAAGCAAAGCTACGCGACGCCGTCTCAGATATTTCACAATTGCGATTCAACCGGATCAAAGAGCGCTAGGTCGGGCGATCTGATGAATTCTAGTCGTTGTCTCTCGTCTAGTGCCAAATTCATGATCTGTAGCCGCAGCCCCAGTCCAAGTCGCCAATCGACAAAATCTGCAGATTTGATTGTCTTGTCCATGCAGCATCCCGTGCAGAGCACGGATCGCCTTGGTCGACTTACCCTGACTTGTGATCTTCGTTTCCGGATGGCATCCTGACATGAGAGGGGAGCAAACTTGGCAAGGGAGCATGATCCGGTCTGTGAAGTTGGCCGTGCTCAACTTCCTTGCGTCGTGCTCATCGAGAATCCCTTCACCTAGCCAGGACTACTTCAGCTCGGACCTGCTCAGATCCTAGCAACGTCGTGTTGGCTCCGCGGAGTCGTGAAAAAAGTCCTGTCTACTGTAAGACATCGTCGCATTCGATTGCGCCGTACCAAAAAGGAACTCCATGAGAAGCAAGTCTTCCATTACTCGTTAGACCAACCTAGCCCTCTTTCACTGTCTCTTCTGTTGTCTACGCAAGTAAGCGGCCAGTGCTGCTAGTAATATAGCGTTCATGTTCATTGGCACGGTGGCGAAGCAGGATTGACGTGGAGTTTGCTGATGGAAGAGACGATTTCCAGGTCTAACGCCGTGTAAGTCAACCACCGAGCTCTGTCACGGATCCATAATCCCCATATCAGGCTCTTTAGACGTGAACCTCCTCTCTCAGCCTCCGTCTAGCGCTAGCTTCGGCTTATGCCCTCTCTTCATCTTTTTGTTGCTCTGCCGACTACACCTCCCGAGTTGTTACGTGCAATCATGGGCTAAATCATCTTGAACTCTTCTAGCACCGTGAAACGATTATCAACTCGAATAGATACAGCGAGGCACAAAAGGACCGATAACACGCGGTTGAAGAGATAGACAGCATTGGGGATTAGACGAGTCCACGCCAGACTGGTGACCTCTGACATGGGAGACGGATGGCATCTACTAAGGTGCAAGAATGAGCGAGCCATTGCACAGAGCACACTGTACCTGAGATGTAATTGTCTTGCCAAGAATCATCTTCTCCAGCATGCTTCCGATGTTTCACGAGCACGCGCTAGGCGGCATGAATATCGCGAGTCCCTGTTAGAAACACATCATCTTCTCACAATCTGTCATACGAGACGCCTGGGCATTCTAGAAGTCCAGTATCGTGTAGAATCCGTCATCTACTCATTTTCGCGCACAACAGGGGAGCACTCCAGGCGGTATAAGTGAACCCATGTCGAGTGTCGTTATGATTGAGTCGGTCACATAAGGGGTAGCCTCCGGGAGGCGCAGCTGATGGCAGGCCGGACACACGTGGGGTTGACAGCCCCGGCCTGATCTCAGGGCCCAATCGCATCTCCATCAGCCATAGTCCAGACCGGGGTTCTTGGCATCACGGAGGGTTGCTCTCGACGGGCGGGAGGAAGAGAGGGCTGAAGACGTTTTTCTCCGTTGCCCGCTAATGACAGGAACACCGGGACCGAGCTGTGCGCTCGCGACATCATTCGCTGCCGACCTTCAAGGGCCCCAATCGTCGTGTGCCGGTTGAAACAGCAGCGTACGAGGGGTGGTTCGGAAACGGCTCAGAAATAGCAATCTAGCCACCCAGCTATTGCACGTGGTGGCTGCAGGAAGAAGCAATACGACATCCAGATAACAGTACCGGTTCGTTCCATTGAGTGTGGCGAGATTGATGAACCCAGAAACTTTGGATAGAGGAGTTGTTGAACTCGGCCCTGAAAAATGGAGAGTCGCTGAGCGTGACTTCGGAAGTGTCGTCTGGCTGATGACTAAGATCATTTTTGGTGTGGAGCAGCATGTCATCGCTCAAGAACCGAATGGAAGCCGCACCTTCCAACTAACACTTGCTGTTAACCCCTTGTCAGCTAACGACTTCACGTCAAAGTACGCCATCCTATTCCATGCGCTTGCATATGAAGCCGCCTCTTCGCTTGATGACATGCGTACCCTGTCATTCACCGTTCGTTAGACAAGGTAGCATTGGGGCGCCACCAGTCATGGAAACGCCCAGATCCGATGTGATAGGGACCGGAACCTGACAGGCCAAGAGTACCATATCAGAGAGCGGCCGCATCACGGGGGCCTTGCAGCATAGCCTCTGGGAACACAATGGCCTGCCTCTAGCCGTATTAAGAGACCTGTCCAGGATGTCGAGGTCGAATAGGCGAAAGTCGAATTGGGCCTATGGCGTCCAACACCCTCCGACACGTACGGTTTTATCATGCCCTCGCCCGGTCGTCAATGCGCCATAACGAACCCAAAACCCGTGCGTCCTGCCAAGGTCCAAACAGTTCTCTACTACAGTGAGCAATGAGAAACGAGAAGGCGGCGCGGCTTCGAAGTCAACTCGCCAATCCAGATCCTGGATGCAAACATTTCTGATCTTCATCCAGGAACAAGTTGTCTTCCCCACCTTGAACCTGCTTTCCACTACATCCACCGGCCGCCCACCTCCACCATCATCATGATATTCAGACCAGGGCCGGTTTCTGAGTTTGAATGCTCTCTCGCCAACAAGCACCTTACCGCTCGAATGAAGCTGTCAGCGGCCAATCCGTCTGTCAAATAACCTGACAGCCTCCCTTGACATGTCATGCTCATGATCGCAGGCCTGGCGCATGACGCTGGCGATCACGAAAGGATCCTGACACTGTTGACACCCAGGAGTGAAAGCTGTCTCGGTAGCTTCAAACTGCTTGCGCTGCGTTAGCGGCAAATGACCCCGGTCTCTGAGCCTGGGTCTGCCGCGTCAAACGGCCTAGTCTGCTGTTGAGCCTCCTCAGCCGGAGAAACGGGACTTGTCACCCCAGCTGCAAAACCAACAATAGGGCTGGGAGATGTTCTCGCCAACAACGGCTTTGGAGGAGCGATGCGACGGTGCCGCAGAAGATGACTTACGCAAAGAAGCAAGGCGCCGAAGTCTACTGCCTTTCCGGCTTCTCTCACACAGACTTGCAACCGGCCAAGGTGCCGTGGGATCAACGGAGTAGCATCCGTTATTCCCTTTTCAGCACCGCCCCGTGCATATCCAATGGATGCTGAGAGACACAACACGACACGACACCACCAGTTCCTCATGAGAACCCCGGTTCAAGCCGTCAGTGCGGCCTTGAGAATGTCTCGCCAACACTCACTCCTCGCACCACTCCCCCCCTCCCCGCAGTGCTGTGCCAGGGATGGGATGGCCACCATCGAGACCCAAAGGATATATTGGCCGGGGCTCGCATCACCATCTTGATGTCACAAGCAGAGTTATGCTTTGCCATTGCCTTCATCCGTTGATTAGGCTCAAGCACGGTCACCACCGCTGAAAAAACGTCTTTTTGCCCTTCCATTCGATTTGCCCATCCCCCCTCGTCCAGTGTCCTCTTCGTCCCCGCGTGTACTCGGACCACCTTGGACGCCGCATAGAGAAGGAATAAGGAGGAGATTCTCCCCTCACCTCCCCTACTTTCCCGCCTCTAAGCAGTCGTGGCCAACTCCCGGTTCTCCATGATGTTCACGCCATCTACGATATGAGAATCCCGCCTGTAGAAGTCATTCTCAGTTGGCCGACCCCGAACTTCGTCAACCCAGTAACGAGAGGCCCGGCCAACGAGATCGTTGCCATTATCCTACTGGCCATCGCCGCCGTCATCCTAGCCATCCGGATCTATACACGGCGATGTATCACTAATGGGTTCGGCTGGGACGACATTCTTATCGTACTGGCCTTCATTCCAGCCACGGGCTTCGTGGTGCTTGGAGTCATAGCTACGAACAGCTATGGCTGGGGACGGCATGTCTGGGATGTGCCTACCGAAACTATTACGGGATCGCTTCAAATCGGCCTCGCCAGCCAGATCCTGTTCGATTTGGCGACAAGCTTCACCAAGTTGTCCATGTTAGCTCTGATGTACAGAATCGCGTGTGCAGCGTCGAATAAGTTGAGGGTGCTCGTCGTAGCACTGCAGGTGCTCATTTCCGTCAACTGCGTCGTCTTCATGTTGGTAGCCATGCTGCAGTGCCGGTAAGTGCTCCATCGATGGAGAAAGACGCTCAATGCTAACATATCCAAAGACCTCTCAAGCTTTACTGGACTCTCTCCTTGGAACCTCAGAACTGCATCAACGAATCCGCCCATCTTCTCGTTGCCGGCACCATCAATACCGTCACCGACTTCCTGGTGGTTCTCTTGCCGCTCGCCCTCGTGCGTATTGTATACGCCGACAAACTTACCTCAAGACAGCTTACCATTGTCAACCTCTTATTTGGTGCCGGATTCCTCGCATGCTTCGCTGGTATTGCTCGCACATACTTCACCTGGATCATGACTACGGAGCCTGACGCTACATGGAATGCCTGGATCAACTGGCTTGTGTCTTGCCTTGAGCTATTCCTCGGCATCATTTGCACCAGTATTCCATCTACAAAACCATTCTTCAACAAATATCTCCCCAAGTTCCTCGGCACCAACGCACGGAAAACTCGTGCAACAACGGAACCAGTACCCACCGACAAGGTCACCACCGGTTCGGCGAGAACCAGTCAGATGTCGAGCGAGCCCGTGGTGAAGGAGCTCGACGTGATTGCCTCAAAGTCTCCCGCAACCAAAAGGTTTAGCGAAGGGACGCTCAACAAGCCGTTACCGGCAGTGATGAAGAATCACTCAGTCTACACTATCAACATCCAACTGGACGAAGCCAGTTTAGGGCCCGCTGATAGGTCTCCCGACAGGAGAAGGGCTCCAGGGAGTCGGACGACGGAAAAGTCGGACATGGCCCGGCGCCAGGCCGTCAATAATTTCAGCCGCCCAAAGATCCAACACGTGAGGAGCAATTCAGAGCCCTCAAGCCAACACCGGCCCAGCTTCAGTGCCGAAGACGGCCGACCTGACAGCCACCTTACCAATGCGTCGGGGGAGAGCAGTCGTCACAGTCAGATCCTATACGAAGTTGACGACGTCGTCTATCGTGAGAGCATTCGCCAGAGCATCGACGACCTAGAAGCAGGGATTCGCTATGGCACCTACGACCGCAGCAGTTACACTGCCGTACCCGCGCCTCTGCGAAAACACGCGAAATCGGGATCTGTCGGTACATTCGGGGGCTAATTGACGGGCCAGAAAAAGCTTGTCCAATGTGTATAAACCTTGGCAGACGGGAATATCCATTGTGTTTCTTCCGGGGTAAAGGACCAGGAAGGGGCGGCTAGAGAATGCTTGCTCAAAGAGTTTTACGATACACCCTCAGGACATCAGTTCCTGCATTTCACTTCCCTTTACGGCCATGTTTATAGTTTCTTACCTATTTAAGCTTCTCGGGAGCCAGACCCGAGCTTTAGTCAACGGAGTCAATGACTAGTAATCCAGACTTCTTTCCTGTTTGCCTTCGTCGTGCCAACAACGCCGCCATCTCCCCATTTGCCTCCCATCTCATTTTACGTACAAAACTCTCAGTCAGCTCTCACCCACCCCTTTCATTGAACAAGCTGAACTCTCGTCCCGGCTTGGTCCAGACGGTTGCCAGGAGTGGAGGTCTGATTGGCTCAAGCATCGTCCATTCACTTTCCGTTTCTTACAGAAGACAAGCGTCCGACTGCCGCCCTCCTCGGCACCGTTCCCCACGGCGGCCGAAGCGCAAAGGACAAAAACTTTCGCTGCCGTCTTGTCCGCTGACCATATCATCAGCTCATCACTTGCGTTTATCGAGGCTGCTGCTGATCATCAAGCGGTCCTACCCTTCCTCTCACTCCACTCTCATTACCCCGACTTTTGTCTCCGCGCGTGCTCCTAGGCAAGTATGATGTGGTTGGCCGCCCTTCCCCCCAATGATAAGTTGTCCTTCCCGCGACGGCCGCCTCGATAAGAGCCCTCACACGCATTTCTGTTCAAATTCAAACTTGTTACTTTGGTCGGCGATGACCGTCCCGTCCCTCGTCATCGACAAGGGCATGCTACTTACAGGTAAGCTGTGCCATGCAGAAAGGGAGAAAGGGATACTGCATACTACTGTAGCAGCCCCCCGTAGAAGGCCCATCAACGTCCCGCTGTAAAGTGCGACCTTGGTCTCCTGGGAGAATTTCATCAGTCCACCTCCACGTGGCAGGCTGCACAAGCCTTAGACGCAATGGCCGCTTTTCTCACTCCCTTGCGTGAAAGTCTATCCTTCCTTTCTTCTTATTCTCACTAGCCGCGTATGCTGTTGCGCACGGTCTAGGAGAGCAGCAGGAGAAGGAAGAACAAGGTGACGATCTCTAGTGATGGTGAGAAAGTAAATCTCTAGATCGAACGCTAGCCCATCGCGAAGGGGAGGGGGTATATTCGTGTTCGACCTAGTCGATAGTCATGGTCCTTTCTTTACATGGGCGAGTAAAATTCCTGTAAAGGAGTCGTTCTTTAGGATGAGAGGCTTTATCAACTGTTAATTACGCTTTCACAATTTGCAAGGCTGGGGCTAGCACTTTCGCTCTCACACACACGCCTAAACACCATACGCGCAAAGCCGATCAAACGGAGTCTAGGTAGACTCGAGACCAGGTTTAAGCTATGGTAGCGGATGGGAAAAGGCTATATTGGCATATCATCAAGTAGAAGGGGGGATGAAGGCAGTGTGAGCGCCAACATTGGAAATTCATCTGGTGATTGGACTGGTCGTCACCTGTTGCGAGAAGTCTCTTCCGCGCGCTTGAATCCTGAGCTCGCCTCTTCGGCCTTTCCTACCTTGGCCTTTGGACCTCTGTTTTGATATGTTGTCACGTTGCCCAACGTCGACAATCATGAGAAACCCGCACACACACACACGCAAACACACACACACACACATACACACACACACCCCAGAGAGGCTTTTGTTCGTCCTCGTCCATCCATCTCTACATCTCATCCCTTCTTTATGCGCGGGCATGCTCTTCCCGCTCCTCTGTTCTTCTCTCTTTCTGTGTCTCTTTCTCGCCACAGCATCAGACTCACTTCCCGTACACACTTTAATTACCCGCCCACACACGTATCTAGATTTCTCCTCTCATTCTTGAATCAATGGACTGATCATCATCCAATTCTTGTCTGATGTTCATGACACCCTGTACAGGATGTAGCGTTGCTACTTAGATCGGCTTCAGGGGCTCGCTGCGCACTCGGTGTTCTTGCGAGCCATTCGGCATACTCAGTTTGGGTTACCTGGGAAGCTTTCGTAGCTTTTCATCATGGTGCCGCTACACCTTGGGGCTCCTTGCTTTAGGGACATCTTGTAAATTTTCAACCTGATCTTCCTAGACTGGGTACACCATGTACATCCAAGAAAAAGACGATGATAGTGACAAAGCCGTTGTAAGAAAAAAGACTCACTTCTGCTGGCCGAGCCCAGCAGTCTAAATCTACACTCACATCACCAACCTTGCTACAACCAACTTCCTTAACCCTCATCCCATCAACGGCGAACTATTCAATAGCCGACATGCTCTTTCGTTCCCAACCAACTATTACGACCCTACCTACGCGCCAGCGATTGTCGGCTACAAAATTTGAGAATCCCATCTTTTTTCTCTTGCCGCGAGGCTAACGTGTAAAGCCCGTGTCCATGCAAAATCACGATCACCTTCCTAGAGCGGGAGACCACCACGCCTCCACCAGATCCAGAGAATAGGTAGAGAAAAGCCTAATTAACTTACACGCACGCAATGCTCCCCTGGAAGAACCACCATGCATAACACCACTCCCCAAAATCGTTCCGTCTCTTTGTAAGTTCCTTTACCCCTGACCATGTCCTATCGAGGAGTCGTCAGCGGGGAGCTCATATCTGTTGTTGGTCTCCTTGATACTGCTAGGAAGAGCCTCTTCGATCCCATTCAGGAGATCTCGTATTGACAGTGACGTTGGTCCCTCAATCACAAATCTCGATTCTGTCAGCAAGCCAGTGATATACCCCAAGAAACCCCTCCCCGTCGCCAACCCCTTCCAAGCAAGTCGTGATCATACTCCTAAGACGTCAGATCGCACCCTCGAGTCATGATCTTGGGAACCATGCGCAGACGCAGTAGCGTTATGATACCTCATAGGATAAGTAAACTACGTATTTCCAGCCCACTTTCTTTAGGCTTCGGATACCACCCCAAGATATGAAGCAGATATGTTGAGAGAGATGGGAGGAGGGAAGGATGGGGTGGAAAGGGGAGAACCGCAAGGAGGTAACGCAGGATAGATCTAGACGTACCGGATGAAGCCAATACCAGAATTCGCCAAACTCAACTCGTGCACTGATTCCGTCAACCTTTTTGTACAACAGGTAGACACTTGGTCAGGTTACAGACACGGCATCAAGACAGACCTGGACGGGAACTGAGGCTCGAAACCCTTGGATGCTGAAGACACCGTTGGAACGCTTCTGAACGTCGCAGCTGAAACGTGAGCTGTCAGCCATCCCTAGACAACTCTTATCGTGCACTCCCGCTTGAAACGACCACTCCAGTCCATTTCATAATCAAGTTAACGTGAGGCCAGAGGACCATATAGTTTCAGCACCATTTTCGTCTTTTTTAGCTATATCCCTCCTTCGTCTCCTATATACTCAAATAATCTAATTCCAGTTGCTGTTGGTCCATTTCGATCGAGTCTGTAACTTGCCACAATTGTGGCGGAGCCTCGCGCTGTGAGGGTCTTCTCCAATTCCGTTTCCAAAAACAAATACAAGTTCTGTTGTGTGTCGAGCGTGAGCTCTTACATGTACCCTCTTCTAATAATTCCATCGTGCCTAAATCAAAACAGTGTGCCTTCCCTTGCATCGCAATCGCACTTCCTTCATCTGACCGCGGCGCTGGGGTGGCGCGGCCTTTCGCTAGAGCTCATATGCTGGCTCTTTGAGTACTCCTTGCGGTGTCCGTTGGCTTCAATCCTGGGTATCCATTGCCGGGCGGCAAACGAGGTGTATCCATCCGGAGGAGTGGATTTGTCCAGTGTGAGAGAAGCTCACTGCGACACGAGTCCCTCGTGATAGCGTGATGGTTCCCCGGCGACATACAACGTCCACAATTTAGAGGATCGAGTTGTAGTCGAACATGCCTGATGCGCTTGCATTCAAGGCTGGTAGCATTCTGTGACTGGTGTAGTCAAGTTCTGCAAGCAATGACCAGTCAGTGGGAAGTCTTTTTTATCGGTGTAAAGCGGGCTTTTACGGACCAAAAGTAGGTATTCATCCGGCGTGGACGTAGTTTCCGTGGAAGGGCACCTTGGAGTCCATGGGTTGGGTAGTAAGGTTGTGTCCGATCTTGCCCATGGCGGACAGAAGGTTGTGGGCATCCTTGATAAGCTGCGAGTTCTTCATGTCCTCGGGCTGGTTGAGGTCACGAACGATGTTCTCCAGAGCTTGGCGGTGGGCCATCCACTCCTCGATCAAGGGCTTGGATGAAGACTCCTCCTTGACAGCAGCCTCCACGACGGCCGCCTTGGCGGTGACCTTGCGGGAGGGTGGTGCGGGTCCGACGGTGGCGGCCTTGGGCGCATCCTTGCGCTTGCGACCCTTGGAGCTCTGCTGGCCATTGCTGACGCTGGTAGGAGATCCAGGAACGCCGTTGTCGTTGTGAACACGGCGCATGTGATCCTTCAGGTTCCACTGGCGCGGGAATCCATTGCCGGGCATGGCACGGTCACATCCCTCATAGGAGCACAGGAAGGGCTTGTCGCCGTGGCCGTGCATGGCATGAGCCTCACGCTCATGGCGGAGCAGGCAGGCAGTGGAGGAGAAACGGGCATTCTCGCAAGAGTCAATCTTGCAGCGGTAGGGCTTCAAGTGGGAGTCCACGAACTTGCTGCACAAGAAGGGGATGGTTAGTCTCGGGGGACGGGGTTTGAGGTGGAGACGAGGGTAATAGCTGACTTACTCGTAGTTGCACTTGAGCTTCTCGGGCTTGTGGTTGCAGCTGGTTTCTCCTTCCCATGGGCAGTGGAACAAGCCATCGGCTTGCGGGGTCGCGTTCTTGTACAAAGGGTGGTCCCGGGCAGTGTCACCTTCGTTGGTAGGCCGGCGGCTGGGGAAAGCAGGGGGCAAAGCGGCATCGCCGACGATAGTGAGGACGCTTCCAGCGAGCTCGTCGCTCATGAACTTTCCGTTGGCGCTGTACAAGAGTGTCTCGTCAGAGGCTGACTCTAGGCTAGAGCAGCTGATCTGAGGAACATACCTTGGAGACTGGCTTTGAATAATGGGGGAGACGTGCTCCGAGTGCGACGGTGAAGACATGAGGGGGGCGGACAGCCACGAGTCCTCAGTGCTTCCGGCCGGCGAAGACAGGTGCGACTCCGTAGGGCTGAAAGAGTTCCAGGAGGCAGAAGGAGAGTGAGCACCCAAGCTCGAATCCGGGTCAAGCTGCATCTGAGCAGGC